CAAAGAAAATTATTTTATTATATCAATCTATCATTTGATAGATCCCAGCACAAGAAGGATGTTGATCTGTTAGAATGGGTCCAGAGGAGGTCCACAAAGATCATCAGGGGGCTGTAGCAGCTCTTCTATGAAGAAAGGCTGAGAGAGCTGGGGGTGTTCAGCCTGGAGAAGAGAAGGCTCTGGGGTGACCTCACTACAACCTTTCAGTATTTGAAGGGGACTTATAAAAAAGATGGATAGCGACTCTTTGCTCAGATAATGACAGGACAATGGGGAATGGTTTTAAACTAAAAGAGGGGAGATTTAGATTAGAGATTAGGAGGAAATTCTTTACTCAGAAAGTGGTGAGGCACTGGCACAGGTTGCCCAGAGAAGCTGTGGATGCCCCGTCCCTGGAGGCGTTCAAGACCAGGTTGGATAGGTCTTTGGGCAACCTGATCTAGTGGGTGGCGTCCCTGTCCATGGCAGAGGGGTTGAAACTAGATGATCTTTCAGGTCCCTTCCAACGCAAACCATTCTATGATTCTGTTTCTATGATTCCATAAAGCTGTCCCTGTTGCCCCTTACAAAACAAAACAAAACAAAACAAAACAAAACAAAACAAAACAAACAAAAAAAGCAGCAGAGTTGGGACCATGGGATTGTGCTCTGGTTAATATCCTTCAGAAAGCTTGAGAAAGTCTCCTGGCCAAGGGCATGAGGTTGTAGACCTGCTATCTTATCCAAGGAAGGAAAACAAAACTTTCCTTATGAACAGCTTTGGGATTTTATGGAAAATTAAGGAAGGACAGATGGAATTACAGAGGAAGGGAGAGTGTAAAACAAAACACAACAGTGATGAGACTGATGAGTAAAATCAGTGTGCCTAGGTGCTCCTAATTAAACAAAAGATTTGGGATAGAAAGGCGTTTTGTCTGAAGTGTGCACTTTTCAGGGTGTGGTTTCCACTGAGAAAAGGGAGTTTTTTTAAGTAAGTGTTACCATACACTAAGTATTAGCCCAGACTACTTTCTTAGTAGTCATGAAGCCAGTCATTCAGGCATTATAAAATGTTTAATAATATCTCGGCTTTACTTAAAGCAGTAACGAATACAAATCTGGCTTGATTTATTCTCTTAACTTTTCCTGCTGATATGCCCTAAACCACTCTCAGGAACCTAAGACTGGAAATGGACTTCTCCAGTCTCTCAAGATCAGATCCCACATCAGGATAAATCTTGTCATAAATTGATGAACTCCATCTAAAAATAGGTAAGATTTATGTCCCCATTGCAGTGATGAAAGGCAGCTCCAGAGCTCTCCTCCCTTGCTGCTGGAAATCATCCAGTTTCCAGATAATGAACATCCCTGACTAGTTCCCGCCTGCTAATATGGGAGAAAAGTGGAAAAAAAGCACCACTCTTTCCAAAGGGAATATTCTTCAGTTTTAAAACAGAGTGATAGGATTTGGCTTTTGCTACGGATGAAATTACAATTGCCTGATGTGAAGGATGCGTGGTAAATAATTAATCTGCCATAAAGTCAGTTGCTAGGAAGCCATTAACAGCACACTTTGTTGATGAGAAACAGTGGCTCTACAACAACATTTGGTTTGGCTGGTGAAGACTCGTTTATTCAACAGACACATGGCCTGTTTGTTGTTCATTTTAGGAAATATCAGCTTCTGCTCCATATCAAAAGCCAGAAAAAGATATTATTTTTTCATTTTTCATGTGATAGTGGTTTTTTTTTTTTTTTAAATGACAAATGGTTAAAAAGTTAGTGTTTGTTTCTATTTTCTACAAATAAATGTCAAATAGAATAACTTTGGTTTTGTTGATATACCCCTTCATAAAAACTCTGCAACTTTAACACAAGGAACAAAAACATCCTGCTCTTCCTTGTTTATCAAAATTCAAATTATTTGGCCTGAAAAAAAAAAAAAGTGTCCTACTTTTTCCTCATCAGATTTTAACCTCCTGAAAACCTAAATCAACGCTAATTTTTATTTTTTTTTAGTTATTCTAAATTAGGTAACGATAACCTGGGTATGTAACATCAGATTTTACAGTGCACTACCTATATTTTTACACCCTTACAAATTGTATACAATATATTTTACATTATAATCTGTACTATAGTGTATCAAAAAATGAAAAAGAAAACAGTGAAACCTTTCCTATAAAATTAACTCCGTGTTCAATTTCCAACTCTCTGTAAGTTCATATAGCAACACTAATAAAATCATTGGAAACTTCAGCTTTTCTGAAAGTGTTGTAATTTTAATTTTGTAACATTAACATTACAATAATATACTATGCTTCATTCTATATCCTGGTTTGGGTGAATTTCAGTCAAGAAGCACAAAGAAATAGAGCATACTGAATTTTTAAATCTATACTAGCCTCAGCATCTCTACTGTTTAAGATATTCATATCATATCTAAGTTTTCAGAATTCTGGAAAAGAGAGATAGCTTTAGAGTTTACTTCCACATCCCCACTTGCCTGATTTCCACCGCTGCCTAGGTCCAGGGTTTTGACTGAAGCTCATTTCTTAATATTTAGCTAATTTAAATGCTAATTAGACTAATTTGATGAATAAAACGTGGTAGGAATTTATTAACAACTTTGCTGCTATTGCTTTATGTCTACAGAGAAATTTTCTAAAACAGGACCTAAGGGACAGTAGCGCATCTGTTACCAGTTGAACAAGTTGGATTTTTTGTAATACTAAACTTTAGAGCTGGTAATATACTGCAGAGGAGAAGGAGGAACGATTTTGATTTTTCCAGATCTAGCACATCTTGGATATAGGCCACTAGTGCAGTAGAGGCTTTATGCTGTCCTGCACTCATCTGCTTCATGTTTTTTGCTCTGGGTTTTATATATAGTGGAAGAAAATGTACCTTGTCTCTGTCTCTCATTATCTGCTAAAGTCATCCCATCTGATGCTACAGTTGTTCAGTCTGATGTTATTGCTGTGTATATAAAGAAGTCAAATCCTTTACCGCAAGTCTAATCTTGTGATAGACTTTGTGTTTTTATTGAGTCCCATTGAGTCAGTGAGGCTTCACAGAGGAGAGAGGTCAACTATCAGACAGAAAAATGGATGAAAAATGTTCTCTTTGGAAGAACAGTCTTGTTGTTGTTTGTTTGTTTTATTTTGTTTTGTTGTTGTCTTTATTGTTGCAGCATGTACTGTTGCCACAGTCAATAAATTACTTAAGCAGGTGTCATATTTTCAAAACGTGACTATTCACAGGCAACAGTTGCTCTTGGGCTTAGATGACCGAATTTTCCTCTGAAAAAGACCTACAGAGAACTTCCACAGAACTTTCTAAGGAAGAAAAAGAAGCTTTGCTAAAAATATGGCAGATGGTAGAAAAGAGAGTCTTTCTCCAGACTTGCGTAGCTCTGTTAAGGCTGTGTATGTCAGAGCTAACTTTCTGCTAAATTATACCCATGTATCAGAAACTCTGGGGTGAGGCTACTTTCCTAACACTGACAAAGACACCTGGCTTCTTTTTACATGTCTGGACAGCCATACTCAAAGCAGAATATCTTTTCTACACAACACAATTATTATTTAATACTGCCTGTCTGCTAGGCACACAGTACACCCTCTCCTCTAAATAAATGAGGTTGCTGCAGGAATCACAATGCAGTCAGGACAAATGTTCCCCTGTAGAAGCAGGTCAACAGGCAGTATTATAATGCATACAAAAGTCAAGCAATTTGCACTATGAAAATAAGTTTTCTCTGCTAATATGGCTAGTAATTAGCTGTTCGACTTAAAATACCTTTTTCTTTGTGATTGAGGTCTAAGGCTTGTTCCACTCTAAAGCACCCGTATTTATGTTGTGCCAGCTTCTCTGATTCCTACACCATTAACTTTCCTACTTTGTCTTAAACCGAATTTAGCACTTAAGAAATCTGATAGCACTTCAAATGATCAACTCAGTGTATCTCAGTAAATGCAGTATATCGGCCAACAAGCATGCACACCTCACAATGTTGAGCCTTTCTCACTCTTCCAGTATTCCTCATTCACAATTTGCCTGGAGGAGAGGAGAAAATATTTTGTATCTCTTGTGTCACCTGGGACTCTCAGCTGAGACTGACCATAAGGAAAGCATTGGAGATAAAATTTTAATGCTTTAAATTTTTTAATATTTGTATAATTTTACTGTCACAAAGCATAAACTCATACTGTCTTTTGTAAGTTTTTTTATGACAAGGAAGCTGTTTGTTCATAGCTGTTTTGACTTCACTGAGCAGAATATACTGTCTAACAGTGAGAAAATGGTCTTAAGAGTGCAGAAAAATGTAAAAAGAAAAGTTCTGCTAAAAATAGTATATTTTGGACTCTGTTCTCCCCTGTGTAAGCTCCCATGGTTGAATTAGTCTGTGATTATTTTAATTTGCATATAGAGCAGCAGCCCCCAAAGAGCCATCTAGAATATCCCCCAGATTTGGAGGAAATCTGGATTCAGGTCCTTCCCTTCTGTGATACCCTCAGGCAACTCAAAAGATTGCAGGCATCCTATTCTTCTTAAGAAAAGTATAGCTCATACATGACTTTTGAGGCTACATCTGTATCTAGATACATAATTCTGATGAACAAAAATAAAATCAATGACAGATAGAAAGCTAAATATCTTTGTGGATCTGGACCTTACTATTTCTTTGTCCTAGTTTTCAACCAGTAAATATTACTATTACTGTACGGCAAAGGAGCCAAGAGGGTAACCATTCTACAGATGGTGAATGGCACGCTCAAGTGTAACAGTGGAGGGGATCATCCAAACATTCAATCATAATTAAAAGGGGATAGGAATAAATGTAAAGGAGGCTAGATGTACTGAGAATACCATTTCTCAGTGAAAAAGTTCCAAATCAGTTTACCATGACCTTAATTTAGTCTTGTACTTGTTATGTTTTTGTATAAGCTTTCATTTCTGAAAGCTTAAAGTGAATGTAATTCAGTTTGCAGGTATATCAAATGGAGGTCAGCACTCACTTCTACGTGTTGACAGGTCTGAATGAGTTTCGCCAAAAGAGTTTCCAGTTCAGTATTCCTCTTAATAAGGTTGGTGAGGTTACTCTCCAAATTTTGCTGTCAAAAAGAAAGAAAAGAACACATTAGTATTCTGAAGAATTTAAAATTTAAGTGAACAGTTGAAAAATGGGTGTACTTTCAGGATCTGAATTATGTAATTACACAGGTATCAACACATGACATTCATTTTGATGTGCACGGTCAGATATTTTGTCCATGAATCAAGCATAGCAAGACAAGAAAGCTGAAATGTTTGTGGTAAGAGTTCACCACAAAATACTTTCTAAGGACCTACTAGAAACTAGATCAAGAAATTAGTTTTAATCAGGGGAAAAAATAACAGAGTAAGTAGAAGTCAGGGAGGTTAAAAAGGCTTTATCAGAAAAAAAAAGTGACTCCTTATTCCATGCTCTTAGTCTGACATTTAAATTTAACAACCTGCTGCTAACTGAGGTCTCCCAGCCTGTGCCTGTTTGGGATCACACTCATAAGGACTCAGTAGTAGGACATTGATCACACCACCAGGGCATTGATGTAATTGATTTATTTCCCTACTTCAGTACAGTCAGATTTTTTAATAAATAATTCTAAAGAAAACCATCATTTCTAAGTACAATAATAAAATATCTACTCACTGATCATCCTTGAGAAACAATGTTTGGCTTGTGCCTGTGTTTATCAACCGATTATGGCCACAACAAATATCCCCAACTGTGGGAGCTCGCAGTGCTTTCTGCCTCCCAGATCTGAAGCCACATCCTGGCCACTGTGCAATTTCATGCGAGACAGAGATCCAGAAACATTCAGCCTCCTCCCTCCCCACCCTACCCGCAGGAAGGAAATCCAAGTGCATGAGGAAGATGCGGTCTGTGGTGGCTGTGACCTGCTCCCTTATCTGGCTGCTCTGGGACTGGGACCATGCAATGCACTGTGGGACTTGCAACTACCAAGGAGCTCCTTGCTTTTTAGCGTAGATCCTGTGATAGCTGCTGAAGTCTACCTTCTGCAAGCATAACATGCAAAGTTTCCACAAAGACAGTATAATTTCTAAGTATAACTTGAGTAAATAGAAAAGAATAAAAAAATACAGTCCATTAAAAAGAGTCCTGACTGTAAACACTCACACATTTCAGTAACTTTGGATATATATATTTCATATTGAAAATCCTGAGGACAGCTCATAAGAAGCTTTTCCTCATAGTTATTCACCTGTTTAAGTATGTGAGACTAGTCCCTTGCTTAGTATTCCTGACAGGCTGACAATCTCTGCCTTTTAATTGTATGTTATCCTCCATCAGTCCCCACTAAAGTGATCTAGGAGGTGCTGAACAAGAATACCAGAAATAGGCCCTCCTCACAGAGCCTGTAGTGCCCCTGCAGAACTCTTCTTAATTTCAACCCTGCTCATCTTTTATTAATATACTTCATTTCTCCACCCTACTGCTTTTCCCCACGATTTAGCTATTATGTTACTTAAGGTACTTCAGCTACTACAAACTCACCTGACTTTTAATCCTTTCATTTTCCTCCATCCCTACCATCTCCACGCAGGTATTTCATGTGTGTTTGTGTGTGTTTTCTGGCACTGTTACCTCCTGCCTATTTTATGCTGTTTCAAAATGCCTTGTGCTTTGCCCTCCCTCTTTGCAGCCATGCAGTCTCCTTACTCTTTCTTGCCTTCGGCTACAAGTGAGTGAAGCTGGCAGTATTTCACTGCTGAACCACACATACTTTGGCGTTTACCAGAGCTGAAGCTGTAAACACTGGAGGAGCAGTCAGTCCTGTCCCATTAAAGATGGCACAGGATTTTGATGGCTTTATGTATGTAACTCTTTGGAGAAGCGTGATGGGTGTTTGAAGTACATAATTTGGGCATTTTCTTCCCAGCTCAACCATGCGTATCACGTATCACAAACTCTGGTTGTAAAAATACTTTCTACATTGCACTTATTTTATAGCTCATCAAAAACAAAGAGTAACAAGAATGGGAATTCTTTACCGAACAGTTTGAGCTGTATCTTAAATTTCCAAAAGCTGTACTGTGAACGATCATTTAATTGCAGAGGCATGTTTGCCATGTTGTTAGATGTCCCTTTGCAGAGCTGAGACTCACATGAAAAGTCTAAATATCATATATACTTAGAGTATCAGATAACCTTTGTCTTAAAAAAAAATAAATAAATTAAGGGGATACAAATGTGCAAGTAGTCTTGAAATTATATTTATGTGCCTTCTTATTGCCTATGTATTCATTGTGCGCATGTCCTGATATGTTTATACTAAAAGATGTAAGATGAAAACTGTATGATTGATGAGTAAACTCTTGATGAGTATACTCTTGAGATTGCCTAATTTCAACGGTATTTTTTGACACAATAAATGTTAACAGTTAGGGCCAATACATACGCTGAAGAAAAAAATATTCTCAAAGCTGTTATGGAATTTGGAATACAGTGATTTTAAAACCTTTGTCTTTTTTTTTTTTTTTAAACCTTTGTCTTGAATTGAGCAAAGCCTATTCTTGAACAAAGCCCATTCATGAAGAACAAGAATTTGCACTGAAACAGAAATTTATTTACCCATAGGTTTATTTTAAATCTTGGAAAAAGATTTTAGAATATTTTTTCTCTCCAATAAACATAAGCCAATACATATTATTACGGTTTCAGATGTGTCTCTTGATGTGGTCTGTCTTTATCTGTCATAAAAATAGAGGATAACCATTACACTAGTGAGTTGCCTTACAAAAATTAGAGAAAATGCATTCAAGAGCTCTTGAACAGTGTTATTTTCAAGTTGGAAATTTTGGATTTTTTTTCACTGCAGTTTGGTAGGTAAGAGATTGTGGTCAAGAAGTATCAGAATTTTGCTAAACTTCTGTTGAAGAACATCAGTTTATATTAATGCTTTACTAAATAGTAAGAACTGGCAGCTGCTTTCTTAAATGAATGTCAATCTTCCTGATTTCACTAGGGCAAGTACTGAATGTCATTTCTTAAAACTGGGCTGACTTGGAAATTTTAAAGGTTGTTAAAATTCAATCAACTCTTGCAGTATATTTACCTGAATTTTCTTCTGACAGTATCTTTCTCTAGCTTTTTCCCCTGTTCGATGCACATATGGACCACTGCACCACTCTGACTATCACACAGCATTCTGGAGAAAGTTTATTCCCAGATTATGATGTATACATTTGAAAACAAGTGCTAGAAGAAGTTTATCCAAAATATCTTCCTTCTTCCCAACTAATACTCTATGGCCATTCTTGCAGGTGAATTACAATAATATTTTGGGAAAATGTCTAGCTAAATCATAATTACTGAAACATTTTAACCTGCCTTTCCTTATCTTTTTTTTTTTTTTTTTTTCACTTGCCAATTTTTTTTGTCTATTAAAAGCTGATTTTAGAAATTCAGGGGATGGCTTTTAAAAAGAAGTACAAGAGTAGCTGTACATTATCTCTGTGAGCAGGTTTCATACATATTAACCCTGTGAATGAAAACTGCTCTCAAAAGTCAAAAGCCAGGCTGAATGCTTCATGACTTACCAATGCAGACCTAGCCTGAGATCTTAAAAATCCATGTGTGCTTCACAGCTGTTTTTTTTACAATATGCAGTACAAAGTGAAGAGAATGCTTACTGTCCATTTAGCACGGTCTGACAACTGTACAACATAAATATTCTTATAATCTGGGGATAAATCCAAGTAGATGGAATCACAGACGTAATTGAAAAGGACAGTTGAGGATGATGTTTCATTTAGACTCTGCATGCCTACAAAATGATATGATCCAGGGACTGGAATCTGAAGTTGGAAAAATTAATTCTAAAAACTAAAGGAATGTAACTCATGACTGGATGTCTTCTTTAAGCTGCTGTCTAGCTCACAGTGGAGTCTTGGTCTTTTTGCAGTAATGATTGCGTGAGGCTCATGCCCTGATTGAAGGGGGAAGTCAGACTAGATGATCATAATGGTCTCTTCTGGCCTTTAAATCTATCAGTCTATGAAAACCAAATGTGAACCCATGCCCTTTGCCAAATTAACAGTCTCACGCAAAGCATCGCATGTCTAAAATAGGAGGTAGCACAAACAGATAGTCTTAAGCTACTATATGGGTTGAAAATGCTGTCAAAATAAATTAACGTAAGTAAGTATTACTAAAGAAGAAACATGCTGAGTTGTGTACTCCTGACTTACGTCACAGCAGAGAGACAACATCCCTGAGAATTCCTCAGTGGCATTTTTCTGCTCCGTAAATATGTCTACTCAAAGGGTCACAAAAGAAAGATACAGCTATCAACTACAATGAGATTTTAAATTCCATTTGAAGTCACTTTCCTTTTTGCATTAGAAGTATTCTTTTTCTTGTTCCTGCTAAATATAAGCATTCATTAGAATTTACCACTTGGGAGTTTTTCACATTAATGCATTTTGTTTGTTCATTGGAGTGCTTTGAGAGAGATTATATATTTTCAGACTTGATTGCTTAAAGTGTGTGACCAAAAGCCAAACAGTTACATAACAGTAGAAGAGAGATAAGGACTAAAACACCACAAAGCAGAAGTGTGATCAAATTCCATTTTAGTCAAGCTAGCAGGGGAACCAGAGCGGTGATGATATGGCAGATCAGTCTTTAGGATATGCAGACTCCCTATAGATCATAAATACGCACCCTGTTGCTAACAAAGTCCATGCAACCACATATTCACTGTAACTATTTTTCCTCCTAACTTGAAGAAGTTATACTTGCATATGCTCCAGTTACATTTCCACCTCGTTGCGGTGACGTACCCTATGAACCAGGCCTGTTGCCTCTAGGACTTGCGTCTAATCTATTAAAAAAGTTGCCAATCAATTCCAGAAGAACTGCCAGAATATTAAGCACAGTCTTGAGCCAGGTTTGGGGTATATGTGAGTTTAATGTTTCCTTTGGTGTTCTTTATTTAAACGGACATACCAGGTGCACATGGAAAAACTTAAGCTAATTTTTATTCTATGTATTTGTCCTGAAACAGATGACTGCTCTTCCATAGGATACACATGCTCGACCCTGTAT